GAGGCCATTGTGTTGCCCCATTAAGACAGTATCTGAGGAGGTCTCTCAGGTAAAGGGCAAGCTATAACAAGAGAACAGAAGCAAGGGAATGTATTGAATAGTTCTTCTTACACTAGGTTGAGGGCCAGGACCCTCCACTTGCCAGGAAAGGGGCCTATTTGTGAACTGAATACTGGAGAAGCCACTGTGCCATGTGCATGATCTTGGATCCTCAAACACCTTTTCAAAGGTCATGCTGAGAATGAGAAGAGAACCAACCATATGACAAAGATGACCATCTGGCTAGTAGGGAAGTGATGCCAAAGGCCTGCTCTAGGTGCCCTCTGGTCAGCCAAATCCCCTCAAGAGCAGAGATGTTCACAGCTCTGGTGAGCAGCAACAGGTGTGTTGGCTGGGAGGAGGCAGGTATGCAATGGATCTGTAAGTGGCCACCTAAATTGGACTACTTGCATGACCATAGCCCCCAGTGTGGCCAAGGCCTTGATATAGCACCCTGTATGTGCACAGTGCCAGGACAAAAAACACATCTGCCTGCCCGTCCCCTTCAGTGTCTTGCTCCCTTCTGTAGGGCCCACTTCCCTGCTGTGTACTTGTCTCCCTAGTCCCCTAGGCTCGATTTGAACCTACCCAAGGAGGGTATCCTCATACCTTTTCCCTGCTCTCCATCAACCAGGTCACCTTGCAACACCCCAGTCCTAGTGAGATCACAGTTGTTGTCACAGAGACCATCTCTAAACCACCTTGTCAATGAACCCTGAGTGCGGCTGGGGGGTGGCAGGTGGGGGGAGGGTATATCAGGAAGCCACAGGGGTGTGAGTGCCACTTAGCTACAGGAGGCTCAATAGAGGAGGGAAGGGGCCTGAGGACTGGGACTATTCCATGTCAAGAAAGGCATTTGCAGTTCTAGCCTCGCCCTGTGCCCAGAGGACTCTTGATTTTCCTGCCCTAGGGTCTGAGGCTGACCTGGCATGACTTCTCTGATTGGTCATCCAGCCCCGGCCACTGAGCTGGCTGAAGTCCATGTCGGACAGAGTGACTGGAAGGAGAGTAGGGAGGACTACAGGGAGGCCCAGGCACCAGGCATGGGTGTGACTGAAATACACAGAGAAAGGTCTTCGGCTCCGTCTTTTAAACCTCGATTCCAAACCTCTGTGCTTTGTGAGTCAGAAAAGGTGAAGGAAGCTGGGGGAAAATGAAAAAGGCTCCTCATCCCACTACACCATAACCTTCCTCTCCCTCACTCTAAGCAGAAAGAAAAGAATGGGAAAGTGAAATAGGGAGGACAGAGAGAGAATTGAGGGTGGCAAATTAAATTACCAGGAGAAAAGGAACAGTGAGAACATGAACAATCCAGGGAACAAAGGATGTAGGCCACCCTGGGAGACCTCACTGGGTGGAAGGAGGGTGGAGGCTAGGAGAGCAGGAACACAGATGCAGGAAGGACGGGGGCTTATTCTGGGGAAAGGGTAGGAGGCAGTTGGGCAAATAGCAACAGCAGAGATATTTCCAGAAAAATCTGCAAAGTCAAAAAACTGATAACCCAATACCCACATCTCTTTGGTGTTTTCTGTGGAAGACCCAGAGAAATCTCAGGAATGAATAGCCAAAGGGCTTAAGTTCCTGGGCAATGGTGGAACAGGAAGAGTTTCTCCAGGCCTTGGGCTAATCAGCAAGGCTGAGTCCTAGGCCTCTTCTCAGCCAAATGTGGTATTTACCCCACTCGGCCTGTCTTGTCACCATACAAACAGCTCAAGACACCATGGCTGTTGACAAAACATCCAATTGAAGTAGTCTGGGGAGAGGCTGAGAACAGACCAGACCCAGGTGTGGTCTAGTCCTCCTTGCCCACCCCCAGCCCTGGTGAGAAATGCTCCCTCACTACATCTTCCCAACTGCAACCTCCTGTAGGGGTGTAGTCCCCCCGCCCCACCCCAGCGCTGTACTCCTTCCCATTGTGAACATGAGACTATGGTTCAGGCAGAGGCTATTTCTGTCTAGCAGCGCCACGTCCCTGGCCAAAGGCAGCATCGTTATGGACCTGGGCAGTCCAGACCACAACAAAGTCAAGGATCAGTTGTAGGACCTGTGGCCCCTTCAGCTGACCCAAAGCAAGACCATGAGAGCCATTTTCTTTTTCTTTCAAATGCAGTTCTTTTCCAACATTGCCTGCAAATAGCTTTGGTGCAGAGATTTGGGGGCAGGGGAGGCATGTGGAAAAAAGAAAGAAAAAACAAACAAAAAACAAAACAAATCCAAACCCCAGTCAGCTGCATAAATCCTCTCCCTGGAAAAACCCAGGTTCTGGGGTAGTCAGGAAACATGGCTGCCCTCCCCCTACCCCTGGTGCTCCAGCACTGATGGTTGAGGCACAGACGAGGATGTATCCCATTCCCCTACAGAAGAGCTGTCTGAGAGAGGGAGAATGGCTGGGTGTGTGTGTCTGTCAACAAATCCAAACCCCAGTCAGCTGCATAAATCCTCTCCCTGGAAAAACCCAGGTTCTGGGGTAGTCAGGAAACATGGCTGCCCTCCCCCTACCCCTGGTGCTCCAGCACTGATGGTTGAGGCACAGACGAGGATGTATCCCATTCCCCTACAGAAGAGCTGTCTGAGAGAGGGAGAATGGCTGGGTGGGTGTGTCTGTATGTATGTATATGTATATATATGTATATAACTGCGTAGATGTAGATATATATATATATATATATATAATAGGCTATATTAGAAAAGTCTCTCTATGTATAAATATAAAACACTGGTATCCAAACTTGACACCAATGGCTAACTAAAGTGCTTGACAGGAGTTGGGCAATGTAAGGACACAGGTAAAACTATTCATCCCAGGTGCCCAGGATGAGGGAGAGGGACTGGGAAAGCAAAACAAGGGAGGGCATCCTTGGTAGGGCAGGAGGCAGGAGGCAGGAGGCAAGCATACACCGGGCAGGCTGGACACAAGGGCAGTGTGGTCATGACCCTAAGTTAACAGCAGGCCTCATCTTTCCCTTACTTTCCCCACTGTGTTCCTAGCCATGAGGAGCACAGTGTTGGAAAGCTGAGCATGGGAGAAGTTATTCCCAAGGGAGAAGGCCGGTCAGCCTGTGCCCACAACTTCCTCCATTCGTGGGGCTGGGAGTGAGGAGAATGCTGTGTACACCCAGAGCAGGAGAGGAGGACTCCCATTATAATTAGTAATTCAGAAATAATGCAACACCATCACTGTTCCAGGTCAGGCCCTGCCTTCAGTCCTCCTAGGCCTCCTGCCTGCATGGGGGTTGAAGGAGGGAGGAAAGGAGAAAGCTTTGGGGCAGCTGACCTGGAAGCTGCTCTGTCATCTGTAAGCCCCAAGCAAAGCATTAGCACCTCCACCATCCCCAGACTCCTACCCTGCAAAACAAGGCCGATTCTTGGTCTTAGACCCACAGAATGCACACAGGCAAGTGGTCACTAGAGCTCTAGGGAGTAGAGGGACCCCAAAAAGCAGGAGAGAGGCCCCCCAAAGACACAATGCTATAAGAATGGATTGGTGGTTGGAGGTTTAGAGGCAAATGGGCTTGATGAAGATCCAGTCTGGAAAAAAAAGAACACAAAATTATTAGATTGGAGGAGAACTGGAGGCCATCAAAGAAACACAGTTAAGGATTCCCTTTTCTCTCAAAGTTACTGTGCTGAAGGGAATGGGAAAGTGAGGGAGAAAAGAGGCATATGGAAGGGGCAGGAAGTGTGGAAGATGACATGGCCTAGAACTGAGACCCAACGCCCAATCTATGGTCCCTGGCCCGGACAAAGCAGAACTTCAGTTCCACTGCACATTGCCGCCTTTTGGAAGGATTCTGTCCCCAACCTGTAGGGTGAAAGATGTCACCCCACACCTCCCTACCCCACAGTTTAGCTGACACTGGAGCACTCACCATGAAGGGGTTGGTAGAGATCCCAGCTGGCTGGCTCAGTGGCCTCTGCCCCAGCTTAGCTGATCCTAAGTCCCCAAAGGAAGAGCCTGCAGGCAAGAGCAATAACTCAGCTGACATGAGCTGGGCTCCACCTTCCTGGAGGACAGGCACTTGCCAGCTCCCCAGTAAGATAGGAAGAGGGCCTTCCTACACTGGGGAGCAGAGGTGTGAAGCAGAGTCAAAGTCTACAGGTCAATCTGCTACTTCCCTGGCCCCCTGCTGGTCAAAGAGGGCACTAGCTTCGATGTCTGAGAATATGTGGACACACAAGAGTGAGTACATCCCAATCTCTTACCATTCTGCTGCTGAGCCAGAGAGGTCTGTGGGGGGAACAGCGGTGGTGGGAAGGTGCTCGCAAAGGCCCCAGTGGGTGGCACTGCCTGGGGGAAGCCAGGCCCAGCACTGCTCATCCCAAAGCTGGGCCCTGTGGAGTGAGACATGAGGCTCTTGTGAACTTCTGGAAGGTAATAGGGGCAGTTTTTCTTAAATTCCTCCAAGATAAGGGAGTGGGATATAATTTTTCCCTATCGGAGCCACACAGCAGAAGGATCCTGAGTGAGCCACGGAACCCTCTACCTTCTTATGCAACACATCAATCTACGCTTTTCTTGCCCCTAGGGGTTTGTGGCAAGGTCAGCAGGTTAGGGATAAACACGGTCCTGGTCCAGAACTGGGATCCACTCTCTGCTACTTAATAAGCTGCATAAAAAAGAACAATTCTCTGTGCCTCAGTTCTTTCATCTCTAAAATGGTGATGAAACTTATCTCATAGGGCTTACTGGGAAAAGAAAACAATGATGGAAAGCACTCAGCCCCAGGCTGGTCCCAGGGGTCAGCTCCAGTAGCTGTTTTCTCTTTGGGACCTCAAGGTTTAAGAGAAGCAGAAGGGGCAGCCTGGGGGTGGAGGGGGAGTGGGGGGTAGATCGGCCTCGACAAGCATGACTTTGAAGAGAGAAAGCCAGAGATGGGTAAGGCCCGGTGAGAGGAGACAGCAGACTAGCTTGAGGACAGGGAACTGGCCATAGTTTCCAGTTTAGGCTTATGCTTGGAATACAGCAGGTGGGAGGGCTGGGCACCCACAGGGGCATGACCAGGGCTGGAGACAGGACATTCACTGCCACTGAAACAACCTGCAGAACTGGCTCAGTAAGTAGCAGTCTGTTTTGTTCTGATTCTAAACTTCTGATTCTGTGACTTGGACACTTTTTTTTTTTTTTGAGAGGTTTTCGCTGAGTGGGGGGTAGATCGGCCTCGACAAGCATGACTTTGAAGAGAGAAAGCCAGAGATGGGTAAGGCCCGGTGAGAGGAGACAGCAGACTAGCTTGAGGACAGGGAACTGGCCATAGTTTCCAGTTTAGGCTTATGCTTGGAATACAGCAGGTGGGAGGGCTGGGCATCCACAGGGGCATGACCAGGGCTGGAGACAGGACATTCACTGCCACTGAAACAACCTGCAGAACTGGCTCAGTAAGTAGCAGTCTGTTTTGTTCTGATTCTAAACTTCTGATTCTGTGACTTGGACACTTTTTTTTTTTTTGAGAGGTTTTCGCTATAGGGCGCGTGCGCTCGCCAGACAGACGGAGAGAGAGAGAGACAGAAAGTGAGAAATCACCCCCCAGGGGGGATGGCCACGCCGCAATCCATTCTCCTTCATTCTCCTCTCAGGATCTTGGGCACGCACACACACGCGTCTGGCGTGAGTTTTAAGCCACCGGATCCAGGATGTGAACCGCAGTCGACTACATGGGAGTCCAGCGACATTGCCATTATGCTAACTGCTGGTCCCGGACACTTTTACTTTTAAGCCACTAGGTGGCCTGGAACTGAAAATGGGACTGGCCTGGGCTACTGAAGTGTGGACAAGGAAGAACCAGGGCTGCCCACCACTCTTCTTGACAGTGAGATGAAGGGCTAATGGCGAGAGCGGCAGGGAATTTGTGCCCTGAAGAGAATCTGAAAAGGTCAGGGCAGGGAACAGTGCTGGAGGCTTACCTGGAGCCAGGCCATTGGGCTGGAATGGGTTGGTCGAAGGCAGCGGGGGCTGGGCTGCAGGGGCTGCGAAAGGGTTGGTGAAGGCTGGAATAGGTAGAGGTGGGATAAAGAGGAGGTTACTTTATTTCTCATGGCCTCATCCTGAGATGAGTGAGCATTCTTCTAAATCTTGCCTATGTCCTCCTCTTTCTGTCCAGAGACCTAGTCTCCCCCAACCTTGGATCCCCTTCTTGGGTCTCCACAGATAGGACTCACCTCCGAAGGCAAGCCCAGTGCTGCCACTGCCGCCTGTTGTGGCAGACTGGAGTGTGGGGACCTGGGCAGCCATCCTGAAGATGCTGCAAAATGGGGAGAGAAGTTAATGTGGATGTCCTTCAGGACCAAGGAGATAAGCTGAGGAAGGGATCAAGAGGTACCAACCCATCCTGCTCTCAAGGCAGAAGAGGGGGTGTGAGGGAAAGGAGGGTAGGCTAGAAGGACTGGGTAGGCTTGAAAGCAAGGCCAGTGTTTCTGGCCTGCTCTCTTGCCCTCAGTGTCCAGACCTACCTGCCAGGGATCCCTCCAGCTGACACCCCAGGTCCTAGGAGGCTGGTTGGCTGACTGGCAGGTGCAAGAGGAGCCGCACCAAATGGAGTCACCTGGCTGCTCCCTGGACAAAGCAAGGTCATAAAGCAGAAAGTGCTGGGGTGAGATAGGATGGAAGGAGCAGGAGAGGAGATGGAAGTGGGACTGAGTGAAATGATGGCAGGAGAAGCCCCCACTTTGTTCTCTGAGCTAGCCCATTTTTCCACAGACTACCCAGTTCAGGAGGGCTTGTCTCCCTCTGAGAATTCTGGGCAAGGTGATAACTCAGCCCTTCTCAGTCTCCCTAGTTCCCAAAACCACCATTGAGGCCAGATGGTGGTGCAGCAGAATACGACGCTC